GCACCACGACAGCTGCCACATCTATACAACACTGGCAATATAAAAGGACAATCTGATGGAAAACAATGTCCATAGATATTGTTATCAATGTCGCACATACAGTCTGGCTCCCAACCCTCATGATTTGTTTCTAAAGAAGAGAAAAGCAAAAATAATTTTTGTAATGGATGACGGTAAATTTGTGCCAAAATTTCTCCACCACGTGGCTGTGCAAATTAGTGCTGTATATTTTGATATACTACACACGTGGTTAACCCCCCATCTAGACCCTGTTCCTGTTGATCATAAACACATGCGAAAAGACATTGTCACAAGAAATTATTCCTAAGCAACAGGAGTACGATTTTGTTCCAGTGGACTGACTTACTGTTTTGCTCACAATATGTCATTAAGTTTACTTTGCATGAAAACATTTTTGAACAACATATGCAGCCAGGACCTTAGCTACAAGATTTAATGATAGGGGAGGGGAGTTATTCATATATTAAATTATGCCGGATTGATTCCTTTTAAAAGTGCTTTAGCTTTCTAAAGAAATCAGTTGGGCACAATTAAATAAATTTGAAAACCCCCCTCGATCCCCGTTCCAATTAATTTCCTAACAACTATCCTCAAAATTCTGTGTACTTTGACGCTCAACAAAATTAAAGAGACAAAGCCTTCATCAACAAATTCGATAAAATGTCGATAAAATATTGACAAATTACATCTTTTAGGGATAGATATATGTAAAAATTGCACCTCGGCTTTGTCTGTTAAAAATTAAGTTGTCAAATACTCATAAAGTTTAACCATTGAAATCCAAACAAAATGGCGCTGAACATGGCAGTGCTTAAAAAATTTTCTAAGGCACCATTATCTTACGCGTACACATCGCACATTTCTACTTTAAAAACGTGATTATGGCACAAATATAGAAAACAACGAGCTCTAACAGACGTTTCAAATCGCTTGCAAAGCTCACATTTGTTGACATTCCACTGGTTTAGACTATTGTCAAAGAAACAGATGTAGGTGTTATGGCAATCCTTTAATAAATGCATTAGAAACACTTTTCCTACGTTAGTTTCGTTTATATGTCTTTGTTAAAAGTGGTCAAAAGTACGTTAAGTTAGTTTTTGATTATTTGTACTGTTGTACATCCAGTCCGAAAATAAAGATCAATAATATGGAAATAGCCTGGTCGCTCGATCGTTCAACTGTTTTATACTTTTTGCAGTATAACATATTGGTTATACTGACTACATTCTACTCACAAATATTAAAACAAAGTTTCTTTGCGAGTAAAGATAAAGACAATACCTTTTTCATAAAACGTCATGTTGTTAGGGAAAAGTTTTCTAGCATCAACAGCAACGGCAAACAAGATCAAAATCAATAAAACTGCCTTCATCCTGTAAAACATAAATCATTATATAGGAAGTAGTGTGACGTTAAGATAACGTCAGACTTATAACTTAGCTTTATCATGCTGACTCATTTTTATTATATAGTTACATTCTACTTTTAGTTACATTACGTCATGTATTGTAAATAGCAATGATGCCATAATTATAAAAAGGACATTACGTTATACTTTGTAATTAGCTTCCAGACAATATATAAGCAGTGGACAGCTAAAGCGAGAACGATTGTACTTTGGTGAATAAGTGGTAAACTGATTTTACATTGGCGACGAGGATTAAAGAGCGCCTGTTAAATAAATGGTTATAATGCTCCTATATATACATGATTATAATACTCCTATACATACAATATAATGCTCCTATTCATACAATATATCCATGTATGTGTAGTGGCATGATAACCAAATATATATTATTTTACATATAAAAAATATATTGCTTATAGACAAGAAGTCATTATGTGCGAATTATTAATCATTAAGAGGCTTTTTAATTGACGATGGAATTTAAGTAACAACTCCAACTGATCACATGAGACCCATACGGCATGCACGTGTATAATGGCCTGACGTCATTCAACAATGATTTTTTGCCTTTTCTTTAATAAGATTTTGTAATAACACGTCATAATCTCATGACAGGATTGCATGATAAGAACAAAGGGGTAGACAGTTGAAACAGAGGTGCATAATGTAGGTCTGTGATAACAAAAAGTTAGTAAGGTTAGGCATTAAATTAAGAGCACCCCTAATTCAAGACATTCGTTAATAAACTTTCTTGCTATTTCAGGAACGAAACACTTGTATAGATATAATATATAAATCTTCAAGTTTATCCATCACATTCTGTGCATGTGATTGATCTGTGCATGCAATTAATTGTTTTAAACTAGAATTTATTGTAAAAACGTACAATAGACACAGCATTACAAAATGATTTCATGACTAAAACCAAATGTTAAGTATTTCATTCTTGTGGTATAAAATACCTCTTTGCAGCTATCTTTCTCACATTTTACAAATTGGGAAACATTTGTGAGTGGCATTTTAAATATCTTCTCTGTTAGACATATATGTATAGACTGTGAAATTTCATGTAGGATTTACCTTTCTTTTTCTTACTTTTCTGTAACAAATAAAGAAACAACAGAATATCTTGGTATTCTAACTTCTTTTCTTTGTTCCTCTTTCTTTTTTTATAGCTTAATTATGAATAATTGATAGCATGAAACTTATACAAAATGGCGCGTTTGTTCCTTTGAGATCAATTGACCTTGTTTTGCAATGACTTGTCTTATCTTGTCTTAAACGTTTTTTATATGATGTTAAAGTCTCATGACATTGCAGGATTGTATTACAAAAACAAACTCGTTATAAAGTATAATTTGGCTAAAAAGCAGTTTCGTGAACGCTGAGCTCCTGAGCTGAACTTCTTGCAGTATTTTGATACTATATAAGCTATATGTGAGCCTTATTTATACCCATGTTGTATGTAATGAAAATAGGTTTTTTCAAAGTGAAATTTACGCATATTTAATAAAATTATACAGCAGGGTCTTAACCAGGCCGGCTAATAGTCGAAATATAAATATTAGATATTTATGTAAATGTTTATATGTAAATATTTGATTACAACTGGACTCATAAAGATGACTGGAGGGGAAGAATCGATAGAGGATATAATCTCAATAGATATAAACAGTAAAGACATTATAATGACTGATTGTATTCAATAAAATAGATCATTTTTACAAAATCTATCTGATAGTGAGAATTGACATTTTTCATGGCCATTAAGGCACTTTACTTTCGGAGTTTTAGCTAGGATTATAAACTGGCCATCCAAAACACTTAAGTAGGTGTTGTTGCATACTTTTTGCAGGCATCTTGTAGTCATGACTTGTGATGTGTTGCGTTACTATACAATGCACATTTCAGGCATGAAATTAGTAAAACCAAATGCACATTGCAAAGCAATATAATTAGAAATATTTTTAACAACTGACAGTACACAACCCGAGCAAAAAAGAACCACATATTCATATGCTTCAGTATTTAAAAGTGTTAAACTAAGATTCATAATAATATAAAAAATAAATACTGCCCCAGTTCATTTACTGATATTAACTAAGAACTTGAACAAGTGATGCTTTAAAATAAATATTGTGTTTTCATGTTAAACACATTAAAACATCCTAGGATAAACTTTAGAGATGAGCAAATTAACAAGGATGTAAGTAAAATATTCCCACAAACCAATTAAGGCTATCGTATAAATTATAGTTATACACATTCAGAAAAGGTTTTTATAAGTTGCTAGAATGGCTGCCTGGCTAAAAGTCTGTTTACTCGGGTAATCTTTACAAATAAATTAGGCTTCATATTTAAATGGGAAATATTTTAGGTCTATTATGTACATTTTTAAACATGTTCCTTTATACAATTATTGATAAGCAATTGCATTTAAGGGTAAAACGTTCATATAGAAACCGTTTTTAAAACCTACGATGCAAAATAACGAGTTCATAAACATTGTTGCCAATGAAGTGCCAAGCAGGAAACGGATTCTCAAAATAAATATTAGAGCCCAACAAATAATTTTGAACATAGTTATAAACAATTAGGTTTTATGAAATTTATTAAAATAGTGACGTTTCGTCTTGACTCAAGACATCTTCAGACTAATCGGAAGTTAACAATCCGCACTCAATTTAATCGTTTCTACAACGCTGCTTTCCCTCTTTTCAATGTCAGATTCGTCTTTCGTAACCCCACACGAATCTCTTCATTTTTTCCCGTTAAGGATAAAATTCCCAAGTCTCTGAGATCTGGTGTTGTTTATTTATACACGTTTCGATGCTGTTCCGCATCGTATGTGGGTCAAACCACACGCCACTAACACACCAGAATCTCGGAACACTTGGGGATCTCTCCTTTGACTGGAAAACGCTATACTAACCCATTATTGTCAAGTATTCTTTCTCATAGTAACTCCTCCTACCACCCTGCTTCGCCAGACAATTTTAAAATCATCTCATCCTGCTCCAACACATTTGACCTCATGATCCACGAAAGTCTCCTCATCTCCAAACTAAAACCTTCACTTAACATCCAAGGCAGCTCCATCCTTCTTAAGCTTTTCTAGTCTCAACACCTCACCCTAACAATACATCACAACACACTTACACATTCACAGTAATCTGATACCTCAAACTATGTAAATAGCTCTATATACATCTATAATTCTTGTTAACTTCCTTATTAGTCTGAAGATTTCTTGAGTCAAGACGAAACGTTACTATTTTAATAAATTTCACAAAACCAATTTGTGAAATTGTTTATGACTATGTTCAAAATTATTTGTTGGGCTCTAATATTTATTTTGAGAGTTCATAAACAATTTTGTTTGGGAATAAAAGGCAAAACGACAATTTCCTCTTTGAGAAATTCACGGAAGTCAACAATACAATCTCACCCATTGAAGTAAATATATCATGTATTTACTTCTATGATCCTCACCATTGAGGGAGTGGTATAAAGAAGTGGAGGTAGGTAGCAACAAGAGGTCTGGGAACTATTGTCAATTTGTAAACAATTTGAAAACAATAATGAATGATGGTTTTTGTTTGACAACTTAACTTTCTTACTACTCCAGCTAGTAAGCAATGCAAAACCTTCTACTTTTCCACATAAAGAGCTAAATGCAAGATATTGTTTTCACCATCTTATCGTGTGAAATCATTTAAGTGTAATTGTTCCACAGTGATGGCCGACGAAGAACGAATTAAGGAATGGGCAGAATGGTTGAAAGTTAAGTCTGTGTTTGTAGATCTGGAATGGCTGGAAGCTTGTGTTAGATGGATATTGTCGCGTGAGTCTATAAACTCCGAAATGGTAAGTGTTCTTGTGAAATGTTAGTGTTCATTTTTAAGTTGTATGACTATAATTTAGAGCGGGAAACTTTGCAAATTTGAAATCGTTAACTTTCGTCGTACAGCAGTATCACCTTTATAGAATAGTGCTTATCTCCATCAAACAGAAGTAAAATAAATAAATACTAACAGTGCTTAAATTTGAATGGTTCAAAGAGCAGGCTGTTTTGTATGCTCGAAGAAATTTTAACATTTCCGTATGGAAAATTTAAATCTCAGACAGAGAATTCCTACTTGTAAATGCACAAAAGGCCCTGGTGATTTTGGTTTAACTTATGTATTTGACAATCTTTGGTCAGGGTTGCCTTCCTAAAGATGTTCAGAAATTGAAATTTTCGAGTAACTTGTGCATAATTTTTACAAATTCACCATGTACAATATATTTCTATGTCTTTCACCTCTTTAATTGAGGATAAAGTTTTGTGTGCACAGTGCAAGTCATTTCACAGGGCGATCAGAATTTACTATGATTGAAAGATTGTGAAAATACTAGTATCTTTATATGACTTTGTTAGAAGAAAATGTTGGAGAAAAGTGAAGCATGTTAAATTTTCTAAATAATTTCAATTAATCTTGTGAGGAAGGATTAAGCCCACCAAGGCCTCTCTCCTCACTTCAGATAAGCCTGTTCTTGCACGCATGGAATAATTTGTAGAATGTCACAACAATAGTAACTTTAGTAGTTGTTTTTGGTTTTTGAAAATCATTTGTTGTTGAGGGGGGAGACAAATAACTTCTACATACGCATGGTCTTCGGAAATGTCATAAACTATATTACAATGTGTGTCAGTAGTAAAGAATTTTAGATAAATATGTATTATCTTAGATATTTCTACATGATTGCTTGTTCTACTTTAGGAACTAAAAAATGCCATTTATGAACAATGGTTAATGTCTGATTTAATGGAAAGTGGGAGCAGTACTTTACCACAGTCTGTGGCAAGTATTCCTAAGATGCTGACAAGGTCAACAATTGTACTTCAGGTTGTAACACATTATAAAGTTATTATGAACTTGGTATTTTGTAGCATTCTAAATCAAAGAACATAGATATTTGGCCAGTGCACCAGTGCCATGTAGCCTTGTGGGTGCTTACACAAAATGGCCACTTGAAGAGTTGCGCCAATTTTTGCATAAAACAAGGGTAAATAGTTGGAATGTTATTAAACAAAAAGAATGATAGCACAGCGCTATAGCCAACAACTACAAACAATAACAACCTTATCTAACAACATTTGAGAAATTAACCTTCCACTCCTCTTCCTTGTAAACCAGACAAGTCTACTCTAAAGCAGAGAGCCATATACGCTACAAGTCTCTGGCTTGTGACTGGTATAGCAGAGTTAAAAGGTGAAAGGTTTATCATAGATTAATCAACTGAATATTCCTGCTCATTTTTGTTTAGAAGTATGCTAAACAGTTCATACAGACAAAGCTCGAATTCCATATTAAATAAACAGTAACATAATCAGGTGTTAATGTTAGACAATACATCATTGCCCTTCAGTGAAAGCATTCAGTTGATTAATCTATGATAAACCTTTCACCTTTTAAATCTGCTATATCGGTCACAAGCCAGGGACTTGTAGCATATAAGGCTCTCTGCTTTTGAATAGACTTGTCTCGTTTACAAGGAAGAGGAGTGGAAGGTTAATTTCTCAAATATTGTTAGAGTCGGTTGTTATTGTTTGTAGTTGTTGGTTAAAGCATTATGCTATCATTCTTTTTGTTTTGCATAAAACAAAAGCATATTTTACACTATTGTAACGATGATAATTTGTAAACAAAGGTAAACATATTTTCATATTTGTTGCATTGCTTAGAAAAGCTGCTTATTTACAAAAGTGTATACATATGATATATTTCTGTTATAAAAATGGCTTTTCTTTTATGCCTACATGGTGGCAAAGATAACACTTTTTTACTATTTTAAACAGCCTTCTTCAAAGAATATATTTTCAGTTTCAGTAAACTATGTGTTTGCCAAAAACTGACCATTCTTCTTTGCAGGTGAATTCAATTGTAAATATTGCTGAATCAGCATATAGTCAATTAAAGAAACTAAAAAATGAAGACAATGATCTTGATGACAATGTTAACAAGAATAAGACACAAGTGGTAAGATATTTTTTTGAAGATTAAATTTGAACATCAGGAGTTCTTCATTTACTTTTAAAAGAATATGAAATTATATTTAATTTAATTAAAGTAGTTTAATCTTGTCAACAAAATGATATAATTACTGACAAATTCTTGAATGTCTATTGGAAAGTGAAGTATTCCAAAAAGTGTTAGTTATAAGGAACATGTTTCCAATGGTGTAGCCGTCCTGTGAATTGTACAACATTTTCATCATTCATTTCTTTAGAAAATTTATTGCTTCGCAGTAAATGAACATAAAAATTTACATATCAAGACAAAATATGCAGGATGGTTACTAATACCAAGTGGAGTACATTTGGATATATTGCACGATAATTTATTCAAACTGCTTGGAAAATTTCAATTCAACATTTTCATGCAATCTGGTTACATACTATTTTATCATGTGTCATATTTTCCTTCCAACGACGTTCTTGTTGATGTTAATGGACACAACACAAAGGTTGAGTAAGAAAATAAAATTGTTTTATTTTTATCATTTGACAGTCGCCATCCAGTCGTATGTTAAAGTTAGATTTAACGGATGGTCATCAGTTTATTGAGGGTATGGAAGTTTCACCTATAAAGAAGTTAAGTTCTGATACTTTACCAGGAACCAAGGTATGGATTTCAGTTATTTTACCTGTAAAGAAGTTAAGCATTGAAACCAAGGTTTGTTTGTGTTTACGTAAGCTCTTTGATGAATACTTCTGACGTATAGAATGTACCGTCCAACTGCTCTGCAGGAGTAAAAATTTCCCCCAAACTCTCTCTACTACAGAATGAAGGCTGACGTTTGTACGAAGCGTTAAAAGCTCTGTTCACTATATCGCTATTCTTTCTACAATGAAACTGTGTATCTAGTTCCAGTTCTTTTCTGCGTTTTTTCGGCACCATGCTATGAAAAGAGGTTACGCAGTAACCAAGGTTAATATCATAGGAACGGTGCGCGCACTGGTAACGAGTATCAAATATCGCATGCTACATGCACAGACATAGCATCGGGCCGTCATTATCGACAGTTTGCGGTAGAGTACAGAATGAATATGTTTTCATTTTCTCCCACCAAACTTGATTCGGTGTGATAAGGTGTAGTCGGGAGGGGGTTAAGAATGAATGATTGGGATCACTTAGGAGCCTGAACTCCAAGTTAGTTTAATGCGAACCGGCCGCAAATCCCCTGTCTGCACCTCACCTTCCACAGACAGTACATTTAGTGACGACAGATATTAAATCAAGATATAAGAATGAAAATATCATCAAATGTAGGTTTTATAAAGTATTTGTATGTAACCAATGTGTACATTTTGTTCAGATCTTGATTAAACCTAATACTCTATGTCGATCTGGCATGTTGTTTTTGACTGGGAATAACATTGAGATATTGGGAGGTCATGTTCCATGGTTTTTGGAAGAAAAATCTAGAATGAATATGCTTAACAAACTTGTTATGTAAGTGAAATATCTGTTTATTAGACTTCAATGGTACAATCTTGAAATTTTATTTCTCAAAACCTGTCTCTCAGTTCAAGACTTCGTCATATTACAATATATAGGGAACAAATAGTTGAGCCTTTATTTTTAATTTTTTTACATCGTTTATCTACGTAAGTACGCGATTAAGATAATAGCAGCCAGTTAACTGTATTTTCTTAAGAGTTCTGTGATAGCTTAACGCATCTTGATAGCTTATTTTAAGCCATGAATGAACCAATCACATTTCACATACACAGCACCTGTACTAAACGCATTATATGCGAATGTTATGTCAAGTAATAGGTAGACATTGTAAATTAGAGCTTTGAAAAGACGTCTGTGCAACTTCTCATAAATGTAGAGTACTTAGGAGTGTATAGCATGTACTACTACTGATGTTGATTCTTATAGGAAAACCAAGAACTCTACTACTAACGATGATGAATTATCTGGTGAACAACATGAAAGCAATTTCCAAGTGGAAACATCCAACAACAGTTCTGGTGATAATTTTGAGGTTGACAAATGGCTGGATGATAACGAAGATGAAAATCTGTTGGTGAATCTTGAAGATGACTTTGAAAATCAATCTGTTCCAACGGTTGTAATACTAGATGACGACATTCCACATGATGTAGTCATAGAAAAGGAGTTTGAAATTGATGATGATATTCCTAACGATGTTCTAAATGACCTGGATGGTTATGAATGTTAGTTTGATGATCTGGTAACAATGGAGATCATTTGAAGAGAAGTGGAATCATGGACAGCGGTATGTTAATGAAGATTTTTATAAAAAATTTTTGTACATTTTCATGTTGACGAGGATGTATTGAATCTCTCAAAAAAAATTAATGTTCAATACAGCTGCCTTGTTACTGGCCTTTTTTGATTATTTAAATTTTAGTTTTAGGTAAAGTTGGGCGGTATTGAAATGTTGGGAACATTTACAGCACCTTAACATACCACAGTATACCAATATATAACGTTTAGATCTTGTATGGAAATGTGTGATCTACTGAAACTGCTGTTTTTACTCAATAATCCAAGGCAAATTCAATATTATTTTATTAACGATCATTATTTCCGTAAGATTCAAATTATGTCATGTTTTACAGAGACAGTAACGTTTCCAACTAGCAACAGCTACGTATTAATCATACAACTAGCTACTTCTGATTTTGTCAGCTCAAGATGCGATTTTGCAAAACACTACTTCAGCTATGCTGTAAAAATGCACTATCTGTTTTGATTGGTAAACCTTTTCAGTTTAAACTCAAAGAAAAACTAGTGAAAGCCATAGTACCTTTATTATGTTAGGTTATTTACGAAATCAAAACCATTTCTGAAATTCACATGTTTTACTCAAAAAGTTCCATGAACTGTACATTATTTATCAAAAAGAGGTTATACATTGTATTGTAATATTTAGGGTAATATTATAATAAAAAAGATGTCAGCAAATGATTCAGCCATTATGTACTCAACAATCAAGGCAGGCTGCCAGTTAAATACTACATGAAGCAGTAAAGAAGCCTTCAGTCATTATCTCTTCAAGGTCAAGATTTTATGGCATACAATTCTACATATGTACTGACTAAACATACACGTTTAGTGAATACTAATTCATAATGTCAGTAAGTATGAATCAATCAACATTTCTCAATTTACCTGACAGTAAAACTACTGTTAGGTTCCTAAACATCAAGTTAATGTTGATAACTAGCTGCTATTTTTAATCCTCCCAAGATGAATAGATGAAAACAACTGAATTTAACAACTGAATCAAATGTTTGTAGCATTTACTCCTTCCTTAATTCCTTCCTCAAAGTTCTTACATATTTTGAATTTCATTTTGTCCTCTAATCTTCATCCTCGTCCTGCCAATCGTCATCGTCATCATCCCATTCAGATCCTGTTTCGCTCTCAGAGTCTGAGTATTCCACAGCAATACGTCGCTGAAGTATAGACGCAACATCCATACCAACATTTTGTTGTTCCTTCTTCTCCGTTTCCCCTTGAACTTTCCTCAACTTCATCCCTGTGCGGATTGCCTCAAGCAAGTCAGTGAGCATCAAGTTTCTTTGGTTCTGGAGGAGGAGCAGTCATTCCACCTTCCACAGGAGGTGGTGGTGTTGGTAATGGTGGGGGTGGTGGTGCTACTGGACTGTTCATACCAGGGAAGGCTGGTGGAGGCGGAGGTGGTGGCATATCTGATGACATATTAGGGGGAATAATTGATGGTGGTGGAGGTGGTAGAGGTAAATTAGGATCTATTTGACTAGGTACAGGAGGTGGTGGTGGGGTTTGGTGGTTGGTTTTGGTTTTGATGTAGTACCTCGTCTGGAAGATCCTGTTCCTCTTCTTTCATCATATTTGATGAACTCGTGGGTATTTAAATTAACAGACCCATTTTGTACTGGTGGTTTGATGTCATCTTGCAGAGGGAACACTATCCTCCACCGAGTATTTTGATTGAGAGAACTCCTTATCCTGACCATCATACACCTTCTTTCTTAGATGTTTCACCTTACCTGAGATTGCTTTCTGACCACCTCGATGTTGCCTCTGTAAGAGCAATCAACAAAGATATAATATTATTCTTTGTTTGAATTTTAATGAAGGATGATTTCATTGCCTTCTAGTGACATGATGGATTGAAATTGAACAAAAATTTAATGATTTATCAAACATAGTGTACTGGGGCAATTCCACGAATATGTCAACCTCAGGGTTGAAAAAATTTTTTCCTGATATGTTGAAAATAATGATGTCACAACTTCATATAATAATTGTGCCATTTGGTGCAGGACATTTTTTTCTGCTGGCTGCATGTCACATGACTGGATACCATTTTGAAAGTTAGTGGTCAGCCATGTGGTCAGTACCCCCAAATTGAAAAGGAGATTTAAAGACTTGTACTGCTGAAGGAAACTGCCAAAAAGTAAGTTTAAGTGCATTCTTAGTAAGAGCAAATCTTTGTTTTTTATTTTTGGGAAAAAATTGTACTTTGGTTTGATCACAAACTTTGTTAGCCTATTTCATGCTACTCAGAGCTTTGTTACGTCAGTTACCAAGAAAGTGATAAAAGATGTGCTGTTTTTAGAAAAGCTCAAAGAAAAATGATACCCCCTGTGTTCTTAGCATATGGGGAGATGGGAAAGGCAACATGCAAAGAACTTTATTTGAGCTTCATATTTAACAGTTTTTATGGTAACTGATGTAACAGTTATGGCATGTGACATACAGTAACTGACGTAACATATCCAGGTAAATGATGGCACAGTCTGAAGTTTGTGATGTATTTTTATGTAGAAACCTGGATGCTCTGAATTGATACTGTATTGATAGTTTCATTATATTAACGTGGTTTGAATAAAAAAATAATGAAATCTTTTCATTGCTTGGCCTGACCAAACTCATAATTTTTCAACCTGTTTCTGTTTGATTTCAGTTTCACTGATGTTGGATCTTTAATGATGAATTATGTGAATGTATCTTGAAGCTCAACCAAACTTTAGATAAATGCCTTATGTCAACAATTTTTCAATTCTTTTTTCAGAATGCCGAAGTCCGCAGCAGAGAAAATGAGAGACTACGGGCTCTGTATGAGTGATGCTAAACGTCAGCAGATGAGGAAACAAAGAGCAACAAAGAACACGCAGAGCTCAATGGACTGAGAAAAGAAGAATTCAAGAAAATGAAAGGAGCAAGGAAAGAGTAAAAATCAAGACAAGCCAAGGCCTCCAACTTGAACAGCAACCAGGACAGAGCCCTAGCAAATGAGTACACTGCTTTTGGTAGCAGGCAATCTCTAGCAAAGGCAATAAAAAGGTGCCAGTTCTCTCCGGAGCCCAAGGAAAGAAAGCAGTAGTCAAGAAACTGTCAGACACCTTTGTTAAACAAATTGAGAAGGGCAACAACGCACGCAGAAGTTGATAAGATCGTGGAAGAGTTTTTTTAAAGTGACACTGTTGCAAGGCAGCTTCCTGGGAGAAAGGACTTTGTAACTGTGAAGAAAGATGGACAAAAAGTTCGTGTGCAGAAGAAGATCTTACTGTCAACTGTCATGGAGACATACCAGAAGTTCAAGGCTGAATATCCTGAAGTGAAAGTAGGCAAATCAAAGTTTGCCAGTCTTCGTCCACCACACGTTCTTCCTGTCTCTGAGAAGGATCATTCTGTGTGTTGTTGTTCCTACCACGAAAATTTTGAGATGCTGGTGGAGGGTCTCAAGCAAACAATTCCTGGACTTCCAAACCCTGAAGGGCTGATTCAGATGTGTTTGCAGTTCCCCAAATTGAGCTGCCACTTGGGTGAAATGAATTGTGCAAAGCCGTCACAAAGCGGAATCTTTTTCCAGACTGTGACCTCTCAAGCTCTTGTTGTTACATTCAATGGAAAAAAAAAAAATCCAAGTTCAGAACACTCTGGAAGGAACAAAAGCAGAGTTCTTTGGGCAACTTTTGTACCATGAGGCGCCACTGTTTCATTTCAAAGATACAGCTGAGCCAAATCAAAGCTTTGAAGGAAAATCTAGGAAGCTATTCTGCACACTGACTTTTCAGAGAACTTCCAGATAAAGCAACAGGATGAAATAATGGCAGCACACTGGGTCTCAAACAGTGTCACCATTTATACAGCAGTGATGAATACAGAAAATGGTGCAGCATCATTTGCTGTTATCAGTGATGCACTCCAACATGACAAATTCTCAGTAGTAGCATTCAACAGAGCCATCTTAGCTTCCGGACCAGCAGATATTGAAACCCTCCACATTTTTACAGATGGTGCTGGCAGTCAGTTCAAAACAGGTTCACTCTCTATCCACCTTGAAAGATCCAAAACTGATTTTACAGCAAACTGAAAAATGTGGACTGGAGCTTTTTTGGTACAGCACATGGGAAAGGGCCTGTGGATGGTGTAGGTGGGACAGTGAAAAGAGCAGTGTGGCGAAGAATGCTTCAGAGACAGGTACTAGTCAACACTGCCAAGGATTTTGCTAATGTTGCAGAGAGGGCATGTCCAAACATTAAAGTGATCTTCATTCCCAAGGAGGATGTTGAAGAACTCGAAAAGGAATTTCAAGAGATTTGGGACAAGTATGAACCAAAAAACATTCCAAACATCAGAAATGCACATTTTTTTCGAAGAAATTCAGTCAATGCGTTGGAAAAGTCTATCATAACTCCCTACTTTCAGGAGTTCCAGGAGAGCATTGTGTTTGAAAAGGTTGTGATCTTCAACAAGTCAACAGCCACAAACCATCAGTCAAGCAGCAGCAAGGCCAGCTCAGACACATTAGAGTGGGACCTATTCAACCTGAAACTTCACTGTGGACTACATTGATAGGTTCTACATTGGCCAATTGCAATGACAAAACCTGGATTTTGGAGCATGAAATTCCTTCATCAGGCATCCCTTGCAGGAGAGGCACTTTTCAACTGGGCCAGCAGGATGACTTTGATGTTGTGCACAAGAGCTCAATTTTTTTGGGCCAGTCACACTGGATGGTGTCCTCAAAGACTTTAAAATTTCTGAATATATGGACATTGATGCTGCCTTCAAGAACATGAAGGCAAAAAGAAGAGCCTGATGAATTATACATATCTATATGCTCCTGTTATGCGTGCACAATATGTTCTATCTGCAGTTCATTTTTTCTTTTTCACCATTTCTTTTTCATGTCAGTTTAAATGAAATCATCTAAATTTGTCTTATAAGGATTGTTTGATTGCTTGTCATTTGAAAGTTGAATTGCTCATAAGAGATTTGGAATGAGTTGCTTCTTTGCAAAAATCAATTTTCCTAGTCAAAATACCTTTGAATTTAGACAGTGTTACGCCAGTTACCAACCATAAGTTACCAAATGTTTGCTTCATCTGTTACGCTTCTACTTGACAGATCAAGGTAAACTGGCAGGTGTGTACTTTGACATGCAATTGAAAAGCACACAATAAACTGAATCAAACAAATGACACACTTCACAGATTTTTTCACTTATAGCCCAAGTGTTGATATGTACATGTTTGTCCAAGTTACGCCAGTTACCAGTCTTATCCGCCAAAGTTGAATACAAATAAGATGGTATAGGATGCCTTATCCTCTATCATGATGCATAAGTTGGAGTTCTTCTGCATCAAAACCCGGCACAGTGATTTATTTGCTGCAAATGTTACGCCTGTTACCCATGGAATTGCCCACTGCCTACCTTTTTCTTCTTTGGCTCTTTATTCATTTCCTCTCGCCATAGTTCAAGAAGTAAGTTGGATCAGTGTAAAATTTGAGTGCATCCTTTCCATTCCCATCAAAGCCTCCAAGAAGCAACTAAGCGTACAATTTCCTGACTAAGTTCTTCATCAGCCAGATGTCCGGTTCAGCTGCACTAACAGTTCGGTCAAAACTCTCTGTAAAGACAAACATAAAACCGTTAAAATTGCTATATATATATATATATATATAATGTATGTGGTGGTGAGAAATCAAAACTACAGATTCATCCCGACTACAGTCATCTCCGACTTTACATGATTTTCTCAACACCACTACACATATTTACGCCTGCTCTAGGGCATCAAGCACTGTTTTTTAACGGAGAATCATCAAACATAAACTTCCTATATAAAAAATGTATATATGTTCTAGCATAAGCCATTTCTATTAACCTTTGGTTTTTGTGCCAAAGCTTGGGTGAATATTCATATGTTCCGAGAATTGTGCCCATTGTAAGTGATCATGTTTTGGTAGTACGGAAAAGGTCAAATTAATAGAGATGAAAAAATACA